GGTGGGTACCAGGGTACATAGTTCTGACAGCACGGCCGAGGCTGTCTCTGAGCTGCGGGAATTTTCATTCCACCTCCTGAAGAGTCCGCACGTGGGCGGATGAAACGCGTCGAGGGTGCTACGAAGCTCATGGGAGGAGAAGGTGGCAACGGAATGGCGATGGCGAGGGTGCACTGGGAATGATGGGAGACAATGAGGGAAAAAGGGAATGGGGGATGAGAGCTCTATTTTGTGTTTTTTTCAATGAGCTCTCAAGGACTAAGGGAGATTATTAATTTTGTGTTGTCGTCATGTGTGTTGCATGGACTATGAGGCCGCAGTCTATCTACACTATGAGGCGCACAATAACCGGGAGTGTTGCGAGCTTCAAGGTGGCAGTGTATACGAGTAGTGTTAAGTAAGGTGAGTAGTAGGGGAAGAAACGAGACAACAGTAACCGGNTTGCGAGCTTCAAGGTGGCAGTGTATACGAGTAGTGTTAAGTAAGGTGAGTAGTAGGGGAAGAAACGAGACAACAGTAGGGAATAATTAATTTTTATGTGGCGAGGTAGACAGGCGATTTTAGAAGGTAAGGTGCGATCGTGGCATTGTTAGGTACATTGGGATCGTTTTTGGAGTCGGAAATCAGAAAGATGTACGGTGGTGGGCAGAATCACTACGAGGGGGGGCAGAATCAATAGGGTCTGTCGAACACCTATGGAAGCCAGGGTGGAAACGACGGGAGTGAATATGGTAGGAGTGGGAGTAACGGATTTGGCAAGACTGGTAATAATGGAGGTACCAACGGGAGACCTTCTGTAATTTGCTTTACGTGTGGGAAGCCCGACCACTATTCAAGGGATTGCTGGACCACGCGAGGACGTAACGACGACAACGAGATGGACGAGATACGACAGCACTTCAGGATGATCATACAGGAGAAACGTGAAATCGAGGAACGCAGAAGAGAGGAGGAACAGCGGAGGATCCAAGAAAAGAGAACGAGAAAAGACGGGAGCATGATTTTATAAGAAGAACCGAGGAGATGCGCCTTAAGTTGGAAGCGGGGATGGAAGAGAAATGGAAGAAGCAAAACAAGAGGGTGGAAGAAGAGGCCGCTGCAGCGAAAGCCAAGGCGGAGGAGGCGAGGGCAAAAGCTGAGGAGGCGAAGCAGAAGGCCGAAGAGGCTCGCATTAAAGCCGAAGAGGCACGGATGAGGAGCACGGTCCGGATCAACACACCAGTACGATCGGCGAAGAAGCGGGGCCGATCACCATCATCATCATCTGAATCAGACGACGAAACGCCGGAAGATTCGGAGACAGATACGACCGATTTGGAAGAAGGGCTTCARAGAGCGATTCTAAAGATTAAGAGGAAAAAGGCACGGAAGGCAAGACGTAAGGCGAAGGGAAAGAAACCGGTGACTACAGAAAAGAAGAATACCATGGAGAAGAAGAAGAACACTAACACAGAACGGGGGGAGAGTTTCAGGGCAAGGCAGAAGTCGAGGTGTAATTATGAAGGGCGCGATGATGAGCTTAGAAACACGAACGGTGTAGGAGCGGGGTTCGAAGAGGATCGAAATTTTCGAGGGATGGGATCTGAGGAAGCTCGTAACGTGCGGGATTACTGTCGGAGTCCAAGTGGGAGAGGTCTGAATTTTGAGAACGGCCGTACAGACGGAGGGGAACCAAAGACGCCGATGGAGAACGGGTATAAAGAACTTGCCGCGAAATGCTCGAGAGAAGGAATTATCGACTATTGTCTATCTACATAGAAGATCCTGTCGTTAAAGAAAACTTTCCTTTTACGCAAGATTTGTCAGAAGAAGGGGATACGCTACACGAAGAAACCAGATATCATCGATATGCTCGCTAGAGAACAGGTGATGCAGGCGTACGAGRGATTCAAAGAGTCGGAGGACCATGGCATCGACAGTGATCAGGCAACGGTGAAACTCGCTGATGAAATGCCGGGACCGGAGAAGAAGTGCAGCAAGCGGGAGACACAGGCGTCCGTCAGATCCGCACCAGTACGTGTGACACTCCAATTCGCACCTCCTCAGGAGCAGGGATCCGACTGACTACCTGCGCCTCCTACGATTGAGATCTTGTGGGAAACTATGAACTCCCACTTAAGATTGAGGTCGGCTCTTTGGGGGCAGGGCAAGTGTAGCGATCTATTGGGAAAGGTCGAAAGGGTGATCACGTCGACAACGGTACTGCTGGCGATGAGAGGGCAGATTCCATGGCTTCGGAAGTATATGGCTCGTTCCGATATTTCGCCGAAGATGCTTGATTTGAAGCAAGCTGGTGTTTACGTGATCGCAAGCCCGTGGTCAAAGAAGACGTACGTTGGAAGCACGGTGAGGTCTGTGATGCAGCGCTGGCGAGAACATACGACTATAGMAAGTTCTGAAGCCATTGGCAACTCGCCGAAGTTGTACCGCTGGATAAGACGCTCRGGCGTGGGAAATTTTGTTATTATTCCGCTAAGACATGCAAATGAAGCRGATGATAGAGCGTTCGAGTTGCATCTCATCCGTGACTTCTCACCCGGTTTGAATACGTGTAACACGAAAGGAAGGGAAGTAGGAATGAGAAGTCGCAAGAGGAAGGGAAGGAGAGAGAGGAAGAGATTGAGGCATGGACCAACGGMAGTGAGAGTCCCTGTCAGCTTTACACCAGGAGGATGTGAGACTGAAAGGACATCGTTTCTGACGTGGCTGGATGAGGTGTGGAAGAAAGACGCGAAGGTACAGAGGACGATAGTGTTCCAGGGTGGAAAAATATGGACAGATGGGTGGAAGAAGATCAAAAACTTGTTTGGAATGATGAAGGTTAGAATTGACGGAAGGCTGAAGAGACTTGCTGCCGCGAAGGGAGAGCTGCAGAGACGGATGGTATGCACACTACTGGGGATCACCAGAACACCTACGACGACTTCAAAGAGGCTACAGGAGCTACGGGACATGCTAAAGAAACCTTTTTTGTTTAAAGGTTTGGCGGCACGTTCCACGAATCAGCTTGTTGGTTTGTATCGTACTGCAGGGTTTTTTGGTGACAAGAAGACGAATAATGATCTACGTTTGAAGATCGATCGTGCCATTCGGAAGAAGACAAGGATGGGTGTAAGAAAGAGAGTGCAGGTGAAGGTGTTATATGACTGACGGATCGTGAAGAGAAGAATTAGGGAGACGACCGAAGAGGTGGTGACTAAGTGCGTTGCAGACCAAGCTATTGCGAATTTGTTTAAGAGCAGGATTCGGGTTACTTGGTGCCGGAACAGGACCGTCGGGGAGATTATTCATAATCACCGGAGACATGCAAATGTTAGTGAGAAGACCTGCGTATGTCAGGGCTTGGACCTGCCCATCCATGAGGGACACATTATGACACGTTTCTCGGATTTGCCAGATATCCCAGCTTTTGTCAGAAATGCTAAGAATGTGACGTGTCACGCAGAGACAAAGAAAGAGCAGCGGGTATTTTGTGAATGCGATCGTGGAGGCTACAAGGCATTTGAAGAGCAGCGGGTATTTTGTGAATGCGATCGTGGAGGCTACAAGGCATTTGAAGAGCTGCGAGGGGGATGTGCGGATACCTGCAGGTGGCTTCTTGAATGGACAGGATGAGTACGGTGGAAGAGAGACATGGGAGGATGTGACTGTCGCAAGATGGTGTAGGAGATTTCGAGGGCTAGTGCTTGCCCCAATCGATCAGAACCAAGGCGATACTGCAGTCGTGTGCCCGGTGCTGTACAGGCACGCTTTCGGTAAGATGTTTTCGTGGAACGCTGACTATGCCAACGTTCCGTACGAGGAGAAGGAAGTGATTCAACAATCGAAGCAGGATTTCGAAGGGGAAGGCCTGCTGAAAGTGGCGGAATGGAAGACTGATGGCCGGATTGCCAAGGACTACGTGATTCCGAAAGATAAGGATCTCACCCGATGGAGACCTATAGCGCCTGCAATGAATGACCCGGCGGGACTGGCTCAAAGGAGGGTAGGGAGGAGTCTGCACTATCTCATGAAGATGTTTCCAACCGAACAGTCGTTCTTCTTGAATTCCATACAAGAATTGCCAGAGCGGTTTCAGACTGCGACAAAGAGGCTTACTAAGGAGCAATGCGAAGGAGCCAAAGGCCGATGTTACGACATTAAGGACATGTTTACTAAGATCTTGCATACCGCAGTGAGGAGAGCAGTCTGGGAGCTTTTGAGCTGGTATGCAAACAGGGGCTGGAAGCAAGTGAARGTATCAAGGAGGGGTAAGATGTGTACTCTCAGCAAGACCCTGCGGACAACGGACGGGTATGTTGGTATCAGTTTTGAGATAATGTACAAGATGGTGAACTACAATTTGGAGCATGCGTTCATTACATGMGGTGACGAGATCAGACGCCAGGTGTCGGGGATCCCTATGGGGAAGTCCACCAGCCCCATACTGGCGACCATTACTTGTGCCATGGCTGAGTACCACTTTCTGGCAGGGATGGGGATAGACTGGAGGTTAGTCGCAGGCTGGAGGATTGTGGACCATATCACGTTGATCGTGGGGAAACGGCAAAGAGAGGGTTCGGAACGATGCAGTGATGTATTCCGGACTTTTGAAGAAAGCTATGACAACAATTTGCATTTGGTCAGGAAGGATGATTCAAAGGACTACTAGAATTTCCTCGGGGATACCATGTACTTGGAGGGTCCTCTGCGTGTGTTGTACGTGCCTGAGATGAAGAATCTGATCTCACTTAGAAAGGAGGCAAAGATCACGTACCAGACGATGCAGGATTACAATTCATATTCGGAGAAGAAGACAAAAAARTCAGCTTTGGCTGGGACTTTGAAGAGACTGTGGACGTCAACCTCGAGTCAGGCTTTGGTCATCGGATCCATCGCTTATGTGATATGGGAAGCAAACCTCTAGGGCTATGCTCCGGAGGTCTCTCTTGGTGCCTTGGCCAAATTGGTCAAGGCTGTGGAAGACACGACGTTACAATGCCTGTTGAAGGCACTTAAAAATATGCGGATGATTTCAACTAGGTTGAGTGACAAGCACGGGGTCGGGTAGGACCTACGGGATAGGAAGAAGGGTAGATTAGTTTTAGGAGGGAAAGGGGGGGTTCGAACGGTACCTGGGTATCGCGCCCATAGGAGGGCCTAAGTGGTCAACGGGTAGGAAGGGAACCTGGGACCGACGGTATGTACGTGGCGGGTAGAGCAGGGTTTCTTGAATTCGTTTTCTTTAAAAATTACTTCTTGAAATAGGCTGCCGTTCGGTGGGGAACGTTGGGACCGGTTGGGGTGGGTACCAGGGTACATAGTTCTGACAGCACGGCCGAGGCTGTCTCTGAGCTGCGGGAATTTTCATTCCACCTCCTGAAGAGTCCGCACGTGGACGGATGAAACGCGTCGAGGGTGCTACGAAGCTCATGGGAGGAGAACGTGGCAACGGAATGGTGATGGCGAGGGTGTACTGGGAATGATGGGAGACAATAAGGGAAAAAGGGAATGGGGGATAAGAGCTCTATTTTATGGTTTTTTCGATGAGCTCTCAAGGATTAAGGGAGATTATTAATTTTGTGCTGTCCTCATGTGTGTTGCATGGACTGTGAGGCCGCAGTCTACCCCAACTCTCTCTCTCTCTCTCTCTCTCTCTCTCTCTCTCTCTCTCTCTCTCTCTCTCTCTCTCTCTCTCTCTCTCTCTCTC